GATTCTGATTTGAAAGCAACAATGACAGTGCTTAAGGAAGCAGAGGTCCACACTCTTGCAACACTAAAATCTGTATTCACACTCGTGTCTGGGGAGAAGGAAATATCACGCCAAAGAAGCTGGTCATTGATCTCAAAGTTCACAAAGGCAAGCCGCGTGCATTCAGAAGTTGAGTTGGAAAGCAGCATCGAGGATCTTTGTTCACTGAACATTTCCAAGTCACAAAAAGGCATGGACATGCAAAACATGTTGAAGCAGCTGAGAGCTTCTGAAATGACAATCCAGGAACTTGAAGAAGGACTGGAAACCTTGTTCAGGAGTTTAGTCAAAACTAGAGTTTCGATTCTTAACATTCTTAACCACTAGCCTCTTGGCTTGTGAAGAATCTGAGATACTTCTTTTTTTCATAAGTATCTCTGTATACTCTTGTAAATGACAAAGCAATACAGATTCTATAGAAGTAATGATACTTGATTCCGTATATTTACTACATCACTGTGTAAATTCATACTCCAATCTTGTGCTTGTCAACATTAAACTTTACGATCTGTTCTACACAATTAAAGTTAGCATGATAGAACCTGTAAACCATAGTCTACTCACTTTCAGATCACAGCCTAACAAATCCATTTAGTAATATATCAGGTATTCAGATTGCATTTACGAATATCAATGTGCAATATCTTATTTAGAATGTGAAGAGACAAAAGCTTGGCCTTGCATCTGTAATTTAATATTGTAATCTTTAGCAGTATTACTCATTCAACACGAGTGGGCTGGTGATGACCTTTTTTTTTTCTTTTTTTTTTTTTTTCTGGATCTGGTGTAAAAACAATTGCATTGTGCAACAAGAAAGTAACAACGTGTATAGATATTTTAATTCAAGAATCAATATTATTTCAATTACTGATTCCACCTACAATGGCCATCTCAGGGCATATTGTAGTCCACTACCTGCATGTTGCGTCTGAGTCCTTTGTTTGAACAAGAGCATCATCCCATGAGTATTATATTCACAACATTGCTGTCAAGATTTCTCATTATTGATAAAGAGATGATTCATGATTATAATCACCAGTAGTTTGTACTCATATGTTGATGTCTTAGGGGGCAAGGAGCTTGTGCACTATATAAAATTTGTTTGAATTTGCAGCAATTGTCTGAAATTTGAGGTGGAAAAGATACCTTTTGTTTGTCTTCCTTACATATATATGAAGTGGAGAAGAGATGGATTCAACCTCATACTTCTTTTCAGGACTTAAATTCTACTTCCTAAGTCAACATTAAAGATCAGTTCTCTCAAGAAGAAAAGAAGAAAAGATGGGCAAATTTGCATAGCAGATCAACCAGTTTCCCTTTGAAATCCCACCCTGTGATAAATGATGTTGAAGATCAATTGCTCAGGATAAAGTCATCCTAAGGGACATCATCATCAGCCGCTTCAGTATGTGAAAGCTTAAACTCAGAGAGTTGCACGAGGGTGTCTACAATTTGATTCAGATGCCATCTTTCCCGGCAAGGCCTCTCTGCAGCAGGGTGTTATCAGAAATGGACTATGAGTTGCTTGAGGAGTTTCTTAGACTTGTGGACCTTTGTGGATTTTGCAAGAGATGTACTGAGTTTATCCAAGGCATCCATTCAAGAACTTCAATCCACTTTGAGGAGAAACAGAGTTGAAACTGCTTCTGCAGATGCCATTGAGGCTTTCATGACCTCAAGAAAGAAGATCCACTAAATGATCAGAAAGTACATCAAGAACATCAACAGAAGAAGTACACCTTACGGAGGCAAAAAACTTTGATCTCAGAGCCATTCTGGAGATCCTTAAAGATACAAGGGATTTGAATTTCTCAATTCTCAAGTCTGCCCTTGTGTTTTTATCCAGGGAAGAAGGATCATCCAAGAAAAAGAACTGGTCAATTTTTTCCTTGCTCACTCAAGCCAGCCGGATAAATAGAACGGACGCTGCAGAGATACAGAACTTGAAGCATCTGAAATCATCAGAACTAGCTATCCAAGAAATTAAAGAGGAATTGGAAGTTTACTGTAGGACATTGGTGAAAACTAGAGTTTCTCTTCTTAATACCCTTAACCACTAGAATGTCACTTTCAAACAGGAAATTATGTACTTCTCAGATTATTGGAAATAAGCATACTCTTACATTGAGGATATGATACATAAAGGAAATTTACAAGTTTGATTCATATATCTTGATCAGTTCATCTTTACACTTTTTCAAGCAATAAGTATGGATGCAAATTTGAAATTGCATTCTTTCTCCGCATGTTTCATTTTAAAATTTTCAAAATTGCAGTGGAAGCATTTTGTAAACCATTCTGTCTAACTTCTTCATTGTCCATGCAAGAAAAGTATATATTTTCTATTATTTAAGCTAACTTTCATTTAATAAAATAAATAAATAAAAGATTCAGAACCACCTCAGGAGTAGCACACAAAAAGCATTCTAACTTTTATCAACAGAATCATGAAACTTGGTATAATATACATGTAAAACATGCAGCAGGATTATTCCTGAGATGAAATGTTCTTAAGGTCACATTTTGCAGCTGCAATTTTAGGTTTTAAGTCCTACTTACGCACAGGAGGATAATATTAACTTGTTGCAATTATTTTTTGAGGGGTCCGGTGCAGTAAGGCACGGAAAAATGAAGGAAAAGTTGAAAGCAAGCAAGAAAGGATTTGCATGGATCTCGTCTATCCTATATATGAAAACTATGAAAATCAAAAAATTTGTTTGAGATACCTTTTATTCATTTTCAGGGACAGCTAGGATTATTATTTCATCATTGTCTGAAGATGAGTGACCAATCACTGTTATCCTGCTTCACTGGTAAGGATATTAAATAAAGCTGTAAGGTTCTTGGTGCTACAAGTTGAGTAATTTTAATGCAGATGAGATCTGTATGAATCAGTTTTATCATTTTCATTTGTTCAAGATCCATGGGACATGGAGCTCATGTACAGACGTATTCATTTCATTTCAGCAGTAACGAGACATGACAGGTGGAACATATTCCTTTTGTTTTCTTGATCTACCTATCTATATAAATGATCTGATGCTCATACCAAACAAATGCATTGAGGCAATTGACATCAAGGATTCAGCACATTCTAGCTCTAAGGTTCAATTTCTAGCTGACGAGATGGCTAATTTCCACACTCGATCAAACAGTTTTCCTTCACAATCTCACCCTGTGGTTGAGTCTGTTGAGGATCACCTATGCAGGTTGAAGTCCTCGGAAGCAGCATCAACATCAGCCTCTTCTGTATGTGAAAACTTGGATGGCCTTAGAGCCTTACATGAAGGCATCAGTAACCTTATTCAGCTGTCTTCAATCCAACAAGCTCTCTCCCATGGGCAAGGTCAGGAATTCGTAAATGAGATACTCGAGGGATCTCTCAGGATTGTGGATCTGTGTGAATTTGCAAGAGACATTGTACGATTGACCAAGGAATCTGTTCAAGATCTCGAATCCTCAATCAGGAGGAATAAAGGCGAGACAGCCTCAGCAATTGACATTAACTCTTATGTCGATTCAAGAAACATGATCAAGAAGATGATCAACAAGTATGTCAAGAATTTGAAGAGCTCCAACAAGAACTCTAAGGAATCTATGAGTTCAGATTGTGATCTGAAGCAAGCAGGACAGTGCTGAAGGAAGCAGAGGCCCACACTCTTGCAACAATAAAATCTGTATTGATACTGCTGTCTGGAGAGAAGGAAAGATCATGCCAAAGAAACTGGCCATTGATCTCAAAGTTCACAAAAGCAAGCCGCGTGCATTTAGAGGTTGATCCGGCAAGCAGCATTGAGGATCTGTGTTCCCTGAACATTTCCAAGTCACAAAAAGTCAATGACTTGCAAAACATGTTGAAGCAGCTAAGGAGCATCTGAAATGACAGTCCAGGAACTTGAAGAAGGACTGGAGACCGTGTTCAGGAGTTTAGTCAAAACTAGAGTTTCGATTCTTAACATTCTTAGCCACTAGCCTCTTGGCTTGTGAAGATTCTGAGATACTTCCTTTTTTCCATAAGTATCTCTGTATACATATCTGTAAATGATAAAGAATATAGAAGCAACAAAACTTGATTGCCTACGAAATTAACTCTTTCAAGTGTGTAAATTCATACTCCAATCTTGTGTTTGTTCAACCTTAAAATTTTTCATTATTGTAACTTGCACATTTTTAACAGAACCTGCAAGCATTATCCCACATTCTTGAACATCACAGTTAGCATTCACAAGTATCAATTTGCAATATCTTATTTACAGTTTGAAGAAACAACAGCTTGGCCTTACTCTCATCATGCATTTTCCAAATCCTAATACCACAGCTCATATAGTTGTATTAATTATTGTTTACTAGTGTTCTGGAGAGTATTGTTTTATCTGGAATCCGTCGTGCAATAAAACATGAAGATGTTCAAAAAATATTTAAATCCAAGTAAATGTTTTTTCTTTTTCTATTTATTTTCCCTTTTTCTTTTTTTCTTTTTTTTTTTATATACAGATTCCTCGTAAAATGGCCACCTCAGTGTATACTGCAGTTTATATTATGGCCACCGTGTCTTCCTGCATGATGTATCTCAATACTTTGTCTGCAGAAGAGCAGAAACCCAGGAATTTAATAATGACACCATGGCTGTCAAGATTCCTCATTCTTGGTGAAGAAATTATTATATTGTGCTAGTGATTCATACGATGGATATTTCATATTCAAATGTTGATGTCCTTGGGGACAAGGAACTCGTGCACAATATAAAAATTTTGAATTTGCAGCAATTTTGTGAAACTTTAGGTGGGAATGATACCTTTTGTTTTCCTCAAATGAAATTAGTGTATATCAAGGTTCCTGTGCTGCAAGATGAATAATTATATTGCAGCTGAGATCTGTATAATTATGTTTATTGTATTCATTTGTTCATGATCCGTGGGATATGGAACTCTTGCACAGGTGTAATTTCAGCAGTAATGAGACATCACAGATGGAATATATTCCTTATGTTTCCCTCATCTACCTATCTACAAATACAGCTGATGCTCATACCAAACAAATGCATTGAAGCACTTGACATCAAGGATTCAACACATTCTAGCTCTAAGGGTTCATTTTCTAGCTGACGAGATGGCTAATTTCCACATGCGATCAAACAGTTTTCCTTCACAATCTCACCCTGTAGTGGAGTCTGTTGAGGATCAACTATGCAGGTTGAAGTCCTCAGAGGCAGCAACGACATCAGCCTCTAATGTATGTGCAAACTTGGATGGCCTTAGAGCCTTACATGAAGGCATCAGTAACCTTATTCAGCTGTCTTCAATCCAACAAGCTCTCTCCCATGGGCAATTCATAAATGAGATGCTCGAGGGATCTCTCAGGATTGTGGATCTGTGTGAATTTTCGAGAGACATTGTACGGTTGACCAAGGAATCTGTTCAAGATCTCGAATCCTCAATCAGGAGGAATAAAGGCGAGACAGCCTCGGCAATTGACGTTAACTCTTACGTCGATTCCAGGAACAAGATCAAGAAGATGATCAACAAGTATGCCAAGAATTTGAAGAGCTCCAACAAGAACTCTAAGGAATCCACAAGCGAAGATCGTGATCTGACAGAAATCAGGACAGTGCTTAAGGAAGCAGAGGTCCACACTCTTGCAACACTAAAATCTGTATTGACACTCATGTCTGGGGAGAAGGAAATATCAAGCCAGAGAAGCTGGTCATTGATCTCAAAGTTCACAAAGGCAAGCCGTGTGCATTCAGAGGTTGAGCCCGAAAGCAGCATCAAGGATCTGTGTTCATTGAACATTTCCAAGTCACAAAAGGGCATGGACATGCAAAACATGTTGAAGCAGCTGAGAGCATCTGAAATGACAATCCAGGAACTTGAAGAAGGACTGGAGACCTTGTTCAGGAGTTTAGTCAAAACTAGAGTTTCACTTCTTAACATTCTTAGCCACTAGCCTCTTGGCTTGTGAAGACTCTGAGATACTTCTTTTTCCCATAAGTATCTCTGTATATAATTGTAAATGAAATATATACTATAAAATTAATGATACTTGATTACGTATTTTAACTACATCAATGTGTAAATTCATACTCCATTCTCGTGCTCGTTGGCATTGGACTTTGCAACCTGCTATACACAATTAAAGTCAACATGATCGATCCTGTAAAACTTATTCTACTTACTTTAAAATCACAGCCTAGCTAATGTATTTAGTAATATTATGTTTTCATTTTGCATTTACAATTATCAAGTTGCAGTATCTTATTTACAACGTGAAGAGAGAACAGCTTGGCGATTACTCTTCATTTAATATCCTAATACCACAGCTCCTTTAGCAGTATTAATCATTCAATACGAGTGGGATGGTGACGAACTTTTGATCTTTTTCTGGATCTTGTGTAAGAACAATTCCATCGTGCAACAAGAAAATGATGACGTGCATAGATATTTTATTTCAAGAATCATTATTATATCAATTACTGATTCTTCCTACTATGGTCATCTCAGGGCATATTTAGTCCACATAATGGCAACCCGTGTGCTGCTGCATGGTGGGTCTGAGTACTTTGTCTGAACAAGAGCATCAACCCATGAGTATTATTATATAGACCACATTGCTGTCAAGATTCCTCATTATTGATGTAGAGATGATTATAATCACCAGTTGTTTGTATTCAAATGTTGATGTCTTTGGGGGCAAGGACCTTGTGCACCATATAAAATTATTTGAATTTGCAGCAGTTGTCGGACATCTGTGCACAAGACTTAATTCATTTCATTTTTGAGCTGTAATGAGACATGACAGGTGGAACATATTCCTTTTGTTTCCTTGATCTAACTTTCTATATAAATAGAGCTGATGCTCATACCAAACAATGCATTGAGGCAATTGACATCAAGGATTCAACACATTCTAGCTCTAAGGGTTCATTTTCTAGCTAGCAAGATGGCAAATTTCCACACTCGATCAAACAGTTTTCCTTCACAATCTCAACCTGTAGTTGAGTCTGTTGAGGATCAACTATGCAGGTTGAAGTCCTCGGAAGCAGCATCAACATCAGCCTCCTCTGTATGTGAAAACTTGGATGGCCTTAGAGCCTTACATGAAGGCATCAGTAACCTTATTCAGCTGTCTTCAATCCAACAAGCTCTCTCCCATGGGCAAGGTCAGGAATTCGTAAATGAGATACTCGAGGGATCTATCAGGATTGTGGATCTGTGTGAATTTGCAAGAGACATTGTACGATTGACCAAGGAATCTGTTCAAGATCTCGAATCCTCAATCAGGAGGAATAAAGGCGAGACCGCCTCGGCAATTGATATTAACTCTTATGTGGATTCAAGAAACAAGATCAAGAAGATGATCAACAAGTATGCCAAGAATTTGAAGAGCTCCAACAAGAACTCTAAGGAATCTATGAGTTCAGATTGTGATCTGAAAGCAATCAGGACAGTGCTGAAGGAAGCAGAGGCACACACTCTTGCAACACTAAAATCTGTATTGATACTGCTGTCTGGAGAGAAGGAAAGATCAGGCCAAAGAAGCTGGTCATTGATCTCAAAATTCACAAAGGCAAGCCGCGTGCATTCAGAGGTTGATCCGGCAAGCAGCATCGAGGATCTGTGTTCCCTGAACATTTCCAAGTCACAAAAAGTCATGGACTTGCAAAACATGTTGAAGCAGCTAAGAGCTTCTGAAATGACAATCCAGGAACTTGAAGAAGGACTGGAGACCGTGTTCAGGAGTTTAGTCAAAACTAGAGTTTCGATTCTTAACATTCTTAGCCACTAGCCTCTTGGCTTGTGAAGATTCTGAGATACTTTCTTTTTTCCATAAGTATCTCTGTATACATATCTGTAAAAGACAAAGAATATAGAAGCAACAATACTTGATTGCCTACGAAATTCACTTTTTCAAGTGTGTAAATTCATACTCCAATCTTGTGTTTCAACCTTAAAATTGTTCATTACTTCTAACTTGCACCTTTTTAACAGAACCGGAAAGCACTATGCCACATTCTTGAAGATCACAGTTAGCATTCACAAGTATCAATTTGCAATATCTTATTTACAGTTTGAAGAACAACAGCTTGGCCTTACTCTCTCATGCATTTTCCATTTCCTAATACCACAGCTCATATGGAATCGGTCGTGCAATAAAAAATGAAGATGTCAAAAAATATTTAAATCCAAGAATTTTTATTTTTTTTTGTTTCTGTTTCTATTTCTTTTCCTTTTCTTTTCATATACAGATTCCTCATAGAATGGCCATCTCAGTATATATTGCAGCTTATATTATGGCCACCGTGTCTTCCTGCATGATGTATTTCAATACTTTGTCTGCATAAGAGCAGAAACCCAGGAATTTAATAATGACACCATGGCTGTCAAGATTCCTCATTCTTGATGAAGAAATTATTATATTGTGCTAGTGATTCATACAATGGATATTTCATATTCAAATGTTGATGTCCTTGGGGACAAGGAACTCATGCACAATAAAAAATTTTTGAATTTGCAGCAGTTTTGTGAAACTTTAGGTGAGAATGATACCTTTTGTTTTCCTCAAATGAAATTAGTGTATATCAAGGTTCCTGTGCTGCAGGATGAATAATTATATTGCAGCTGAGATCTGTATAATTATGTTTATTGTATTCATTTGTTCATGATCCGTTGGACATGGAACTCTTGCACAGATGTAATTTCAGCAGTAATGAGACATCACAGATGGAATATATTCCTTATGTTTCCTTCATCTACCTTTCTATAAATACAGCTGATGCTCATACCAAAAAAATGCATTGAAGCACTTGACATCAAGGATTCAACACATTCTAGCTCTAAGGGTTCATTTTCTAGCTGACGAGATGGCTAATTTCCACACTCGATCAGACAGTTTTCCTTCACAATCTCACACAGTAGTGAAGTCAGTTGAGGATCAACTATGCAGGTTGAAGTCCTCAGAAGCAGCATCAACATCATCCTCTTCTGTATGTGAAAACTTGGATGGCCTTAGAGCCTTACATGAAGACATCAGTAACCTTATTCAGCTGTCTTCTATCCAACAAGCTCTCTCCCATGGGCAAGGTCAGGAATTCATAAATGAGATACTCGAGGGATCTCTCAGGATTGTGGATCTGTGTGAATTTGCAAGAGACATTGTACGATTGACCAAGGAATCTGTTCAAGATCTCAAATCCTCAATCAGGAGGAATAAAGGCGAGACAGCCTCGGCAGTTAACATTAACTCTTACATCGATTCAAGAAACAAGATCAAGAAGATGATCAACAAGTATGCCAAGAATTTGAAGAGCTCCAACAAAAACTCTAATAAGGAAGCCACAAGTTCAGATTGTGATCTGACAGCAATCAGGACAGTGCTTAAGGAAGCAGAGGTCTACACTCTTACAACGCTAAAATCTGTATTGACACTCATTTCTGGGGAGAAGGAAACGTCAAGCCAGAGAAGCTGGTCACTGATCTCAAAGTTCACAAAGGCAAGCCGTGTGCATTCAGAGGTTGAACCCGAAAGCAGCATCAAGGATCTGTGTTCATTGAACATTTCCAAGTCACAAAAGGGCATGGACATGCAAAACATGTTGAAGCATCTCAGAGCATCTGAAATGACAATCCAGGAACTTGAAGAAGGACTGGAAACTTTGTTCAGGAGTTTAGTCAAAACTAGAGTTTCAATTCTCAACATTCTTAGCCACTAGCCTCTTGGCTTGTGAAGATTCTGAGATACTTCTTTTTTCCATAAGTATCTCTGTATACAATTGTAAATGAAATATAGATTCTATAGAATTAATGATACTTGATTACGTATTTCTACTACATCAATGTGTAAATTCATACTCCAATCTCGTGCACGTTGGCATTGGACTTAGCAACCTGTTATACACAATTAAAGTTAACATGATCGATCCTGTAAAACTTATTCTACTCACTTTAAAATCACAGCCTAGCTAATGTATTTAGTAATATTATGTATTCATTTTGCATTTACAAATATCAAGCTGCAGTATCTTATTTACAATGTGAAGAGAGAACAGCTTGGCCTTTACTCTTCATTTAACATCCTAATACCACAGCTCCTTTAGCAGTATTAATCATTCAATACGAGTGGGATGGTGATGAACTTTTGATCTTTTTCTGGATCTTGTGTGAAAACAATTCCATCGTGCAACAAGAAAATGATGACGTGCATAGATATTTTATTTCAAGAATCATTATTATTTCAATTACTGATTCTTCCTACTGTGGTCATCTCAGGGCATATTTAGTCCACATAATGGCAACCCGTGTGTTGCTGCATGGTGGGTCTGAGTACTTTGTCTGAACAAGAGCATCAACCCATGAGTATTATTATATAGACCACATTGCTGTCAAGATTCCTCATTATTGATGTAGAGATGATTATAATCACCAGTTGTTTGTATTCAAATGTTGATGTCTTTGGGGGCAAGGACCTTGTGCACCATATAAAATTATTTGAATTTGCAGCAGTTGTCGGACATCTGTGCACAAGACTTAATTCATTTCATTTTGAGCTGTAATGAGACATGACAGGTGGAACATATTCCTTTTGTTTCCTTGATCTACCTTTCTATATAAATAGAGCTGATGCTCATAGCAAACAATGCATTGAGGCAATTGACATCAAGGATTCAACACATTCTAGCTCTAAGGGTTCATTTTCTAGCTAGCAAGATGGCAAATTTCCACACTCGATCAAACAGTTTTCCTTCACAATCTCACCCTGTAGTTGAGTCTGTTGAGGATCAACTATGGAGGTTGAAGTCCTCGGAAGCAGCATCAACATCAGCCTCTTCTGTATGTGCAAACTTGGATGGCCTTAGAGCCTTACATGAAGGCATCAGTACCCTGATTCAGCTGTCTTCAATCCAACAAGCTCTCTCCCATGGGCAAGGTCAGGAATTTGTAAATGAGATACTCGAGGGATCTCTCAGGATTGTGGATCTGTGTGAATTTGCAAGAGACATTGTACGATTGACCAAGGAATCTGTTCAAGATCTTGAATCCTCAATCAGGAGGAATAAAGGCGAGACAGCCTCGGCAATTGATATTAACTCTTATGTGGATTCAAGAAACAAGATCAAGAAGATGATCAACAAGTATGCCAAGAATTTGAAGAGCTCCAATAAGAACTCTAAGGAAGCCACAACCTCAGATTGTGATCTGAAAGCAATCAGGACAGTGCTGAAGGAAGCAGAGGCCCACACTCTTGCAACACTGAAATCTGTATTGACACTCGTGTCTGGCGAGAAGGAAAGATCAAGCCAAAAAAGCTGGTCATTAATTTCAAAGTTCACCAAGGCACGCCGTGTGCATTCAGAGGTTGAGCCAGAAAGCTGCATTGAGGATCTGTGTTCATTGAACATTTCCAAATCACAAAAAGGCATGGACTTGCAAAACATGTTGAAGCAGCTAAGAGCATCTGAAATGACAATCCAGGAACTTGAAGAAGGACTGGAAACCTTGTTCAGGAGTTTAGTCAAAAGCAGAGTTTCTATTCTTAACATTCTTAGCCATTAGCCTCTTCAATGTGGCTGATTTGAGATACATTTTTTTTTTCATATGTATCTCTGTATACATCTGTAAATGTCAAAAAAATTAAAGAAACAATAATACTTGATTACCTAGAAAATTCAACATTGCAGTGAAAAAAGTCTTATTATATGACTATTGGGCTCTTTGTTTCAACATCAAGTTATTTCATCAGTTTGATCTTTCACATACTTAATTCATCATAGAACTTGCAAGCATTATCCCCCTTCTTAAGAACAAATTCAAAATCCCATATACTAATATAACGTGTTCACAATTTACATTTATAATTGACAATTAGAAATATCTTATTTCCATTTGAACATCCGACTGCTTGCTCTTTATTCTTCTATTTTCCATATCCCTATTACCACTAGAATGTCACTTTCAGACAAAACTTTATACTTCTTCTGTATATGATTGTACATATATATATACACTCATGATGTATAAAGGCTTCGCTCAATCTTCTCAATTCACATGCGTTGATCAAATCATCTTCGCACTTAGTCTCAGAAGTCAATATGGTTGCAAATGTGTTTGGTTCTTTTCCAAAAGGATTGCACATTTTAGGAAGAACATCTATTAACTCATATAACCATAGACTTGATAACAAAAGCTTGAATTTCATATCCAATTATTAACTTTTTGATCGTCCTTATAAGAACAAAATAAACAAAAACGAAAAAAGATCATCTTGTCATAAAATGAATCTATACATAAAACATGATGCTAGATCAGCTTCCCTGTCTTTAATATAGAGTAGATGCAGATTTTTTACATTACTAACCTGCAAACTAAGTCAACTGTTCGACTAACTTGGCATTTGAATGAAAAATAAAAAAAGAAGATTCTAAACCCGTGTGGATATCTATTTTATGTGCTATGTTCACCTGTATAGCTTGCAGGCTGTCTTACATGCATGTGCAGATAACTTTCTCTCTCTTTCATTGACAAGTTGGATTATTTTTTTAATTATATTGTCTGAAGATAGAAACCAAAATATAATAAGCTCTACTTCAAGATGAGTAATTATAATATTTCGAAGATCTGTATGATTGAGTTCTTCATTTTGTTTGTCCATGATCCGAGGGACACGAAGCTCGTGCACAGATATATATTTGTTTCATTAATGAGACATGATAGGTGTAGTACATTCCTTTTGTTTCCTTGATCTGTCGATTATATAAATACAACTGATGCTCGTACCGAAGAAATACCTTAGAGCACTCTGACATCTTTTTATCAAGGATTCAACACACATCCTATCTCAAAGAGTTCGATCTCCAGCTGAAAATATGGCTAATTTCCATGCTAGATCAAACAGCTTTCCTTCACAATCTCACCCTATGGTGGAATCCGTTGAGGATCAGCTGTGCAGACTGAATTCATCAGGGGCCACATCCACGTCAACCTCTTCTACATGTGCAAACTTGGATGGCATCAGAAATTTACATGAAGCATCAGTAACTTGATTCAGATATCATCGATTCAGCACACCCTCTCGCATGAGCATGGTCAGGAATTCGTAAATGAGGTGCTCCAGGGATCTCTCAGGCTTGTGGATCTCTGTCAATTTTCTAGAGACATTGTACGATTAACAAAGGAATCTGTTCAAGATCTTGAATCCTCAATCAGAAGGAACAAAGGAGAAACTGTCTCAGTTATCGACATTGATTGTTATGTTGCCTCAAGGAACAAGATCAAGAAGATGATCAACAAGTATGCGAAGAACTTGAAAAGCTTCAACAAGAATTATAAGAAGCTCATAAGCTCAGATTGTGATCTAAAAAGCAATCAGGACAGTGCTTAAAGAAGCAGATGCCCACACTCTCTTGACACTAAAATCAGTGCTAATGCTCATGTCTGGTGAAAAGGAAAGTTCAAACCAAAGAAACTGGTCTTTGCTCTCAAAGTTCGTGAAGACTATTAAGCCAGAAAACTGTGTCGAGGAGCTTTGTTCAGTGGACATTCCCAAGTCAAAAAAAGGCATGGACTGCATCACTTCTGAAAACATGCTGAAGGAGTTGAGAGCATCCGAAATGACAATCCAGGAACTTGATGAAGGATTGGAAGCCTTATTCAGGAATCTAATCAAAACTAGAGTTTCTCTTCTTAATGTTCTTAGTAATTAGCCTCTTGGCTTAACGCTACTTCATGTAAAAAAGAAATTACCATGAATACCTCTGTATACTTCTGTACATGACCACAAAAAGAAATCAACAATTAATAATCGATTACCTTCAAAACTTCGCGTACTTTCTTACCACATGACTATTGCTGCTGTTCAGTTCCAACTGTACACAAATTTCAGTTAAACCTGGGATAATTACAGAAGTGTGATATGTTTTTTACTCATTGCAATAGATCGAACATCAGCCATTAGCTGCTCAATTACCCAAAGCTGAAATTTTGAAATGACCATTTTACTTGTGGTAACACCACAGCCTGTTTAACAGTATATAAATTTTCCAATGCTGCCAATTATCTTTTTTTAACATTGTAGAGTCCTCACTAAATGCCAAACTTTTGGCACATTGCATTACTTAAAATTGCACCCACCGTGCGGCTGCATGTTGTATCCGAGTCCTTTGTCTGAAGTAGAGCAACAGCGTGGCATTATTATACAGAATTCATGGCTGTCAAGATTCTTCGCACTCCATGAAGGTGTATTTATAATGCTGCAAGATCTGTATGCTGGGATTTTGCACCCAATTGTTGAAGAACGGGGGGACAAGAAACTCGTGCACAATGCAATAATTGCTTCAATTTGCAACCATTCGAGCTGGAATAGATGCCTTTTGTTTGCCATTCTGTTTGTATATATATATGTGCTGTGGAAAGAGATTTCTTCAAGCCTGAAACATTTTTTCAACACTCTGAATCCCATTTGTGAACTCATCCCGAAAGAATTCCAATGGCAACTTTGCACATTAGATCGAACAGTCTGCCTTCCAAATCCCATCCTGTGCTGAATAATGTCGAAGATCTTTTGTGTAGGCTGAAGTCTTCAGAAGAGACATCGACATCAGTATGTGCAGATTTGGCTAATCTTCGATGTTTACATGAAGGAATCGAGAACATGATTCAGATGCCTTCGATCCAACAAGCCCTTGCCGCAGAAGACAATGAAAAATGGACTAACGAGCTGCTCGAAGAATCTCTTCAACTCATGGATCTCTGTGGCTTCGCCAGAGATGTTCTGAGTTTATCCAAGGGATCCATTCAAGAACTTCAGTCCACAATAAGGCGGAGCAGAGGCGAAACAATAGATGCAACAAATACATACATGGCTTCAAAAAAGAAGATCGGTAAAATGGTCAAGAAATCGATCAAGAACTTCAAGAGCTTCAACAGAATCAGTGCGCCAATCGTTGGCGAGGACTCCGATCTCGATCTCAAGGCTGTTTTTGATACACTTAAAGAAGCTGCAGCTTTCGATTTCACCGTCCTAAAGTCTGTTCTGATGTTTTTGTGCGGCGATGAGGGAAGATCGAAGAAAAGAAGCTGGTCATTAGTTTCTGCAATTTTCTCTCAACCCACGAAAACAACAGTAGACGCAGATGCGCAGAACTTCTTGAAGCAGATGAAATCATCTGAAGTGACTATTCAAGAACTTGAAGATGAACTAGAAGCCTTCTACAGGACTTTAGTGAAAGCTAGAGTCTTTCTCCTCAATGCCCTCACCCATTGAATCACAACCATATGCTTCTGCAAATGGATGTAAATATGTATATTGATGATAGAAAATTTATAAATACAAACAAGAATTCGATCAATTTCTCCATCCATAGTATCTCATATTTCGAATTCAAAATCCTTCTTATTCAAAAGATTCAAATGCACCTTCAAAAAATTCACAAAATCTGGTGTGCTAGGTAAAATCAGTTATGCTACAGATTAAAAGAAACAAAAAAAGCTATGTGAATAATGTTGACAAACACGAGGTTATTGCCCGGAGTTCTTGCTCCAAAGCAATTGGTAATCAATTGGAGTGAAGTGTTTATCATCGAGACGTTTGTAGGTTTTGATACTCTCGACTTGACCATACGATCCATCGTCTGTTTTCTCCAGACATGCCACCACCATCCTGGCTCTCCTAGACCATCCGGCTTTTCCATAAGCGTGATATCCGAACCCCCCGGCATAGCACATATGAATGCCCATCGACTCTCCACAGAAGTCATTAATATGATCGTGGCCGACAAACACAGCCTTCACATCCCCTGCCGACACCATAGTCGTCAAAAAGCCTGAGTTCACCATTGGAGAGCCAGTGTCTTCCTGCCTCACACCTGTAATGTTGGGCTTGTCGAAGCTTTCAAATTCAGGCAATGGAATGTGGAAGTATGCAAGCCCTGGCGCCGGGTTGCTCGCCTGCATTCAAACAGCCACATTAGTCTCTTCCATGTCGGATGACAGAAAAAGGAGGGTTCTTGATTTACCTGAAGCCTGGAAGACGTTTTCTGAAACCAGACTTGCTGAGTCGGCTTGATCCAGTCGTAGCCGATAATGGTAGGCATGTCAGTTGAGTAATCGCCGCTGTCGAGGAGATACAGATTGAGAACCGATTTACTCGACAGGTTCGAACCTTCGGCTCCGAAAACTTCCAAATTGTAATTCCCATATCCATCAATATCAGGAGCTTCAGCAGGATTGAACTTAGACAGAGTGTTCTTCAACCCCACAATGTGCTTCATCACCTCCTTCCTCGGTAGGGTAGACTCCTGATCATGATTTCCAAGAATAGCTGCCCACGGAACGTTCGAAGCTATGGCCGGAGCAAACGCAGCATTCATGGAAATTTTTGCGTTTGTGGCATCGAACCCGAAGATATTGTCCCCTGAATCAAGCAATTTTATAAGAAGAACAGTTAACAATGGCGGAGACGAAGAAGAAAATACACTAACCAGTGAAGATTATGAGGTCAGGTTTCTCGTTGCGGATCATACGGCGGAGGAAGGCGGTGGTGTTCAGATCGGAGCAGGTTTTCATCTCGTACGGGAACACATCCTCGCAGGGAGTTGTCCGGCCGTCGCCGAAGTGCATATCCGCCACCTGCAGAATCCTGAATTCGCCCTTCTTAGCGTCAAATCTCAGCCCTTGCACGGCGGCGTGGCCGAAGAGAAGAAAAGCTGTTAACACAATCGCCGCCGCCGTTGCCATATTCATCGATTGAAAGCTTCTAAAATCTGAATTAACAGCAAATCTCAAAGACCTGATTCAGTATAAAATACACAGTCAAAATCGAGTATATATCAGCAGCGGCGCGCAACGGATTTCCCGAACTATCTGCATCTTCTTTCTTAAAAATCAATCTCTATCCATCCGATAAAGTGTTCTTGTTGAGAATTTAACGCTAAACCCTAAAACCCTACTTCCAACCGAATCCCCGCCATAAAATCTCATCCTGACTGCCGAATTACAGCGCGTGGGGAACACCGTTGTTGGTGCCCGTGTGCGCCCCTGTAATTTATTTCTTGTCTGCAGATCAGAGGAGCTCCATTCGTGAGGTCAATGGCAGATGTAGGGGTTGGCTAAATCGAATTCATCGCTGTCAAGATTCCAAATGCTTCAAGATGGGGGCAATTGCAGCGACTCCCAGATCTGCATGATTGAATCCTTCGATTCAATTGTTTCAGATCCGTGGGACATGGAGCTCGTGTGCAGACATATTCAATTCATCTTCCACCAGAAATGAGGGACATACGCCATGGAATATATTCTGATTGTTTGCTTTGATCTGCCTTTCTGTAAATATATATAGAGAGAATACCCCAATGAGATGGATCATTCAAGCACTCATCGTCATCCTCAAGAAAACATCTTCTCCATTCTAAGGAATTCCATACAGAAAAATGGCAGCTTTCCATTCTCGATCAAACAGTTTTCCATCGTCCCATCCATCGATTGAAGATGTCGAAGCACAATTGTGCAGATTGAGGTCCTCAGAAGCCACATCAACATCTGCCAGCTCTGTCTGCGCAAACTTGGCCAATCTTGGAAGCTTACATGAGAGCATCAAGGATCTAATTCAGATGTCTTCAATCCAACAAGTTCTCTCCCACCAGCAAGGTCAGAATCAGATAAACGAACTGCTCGAGGGATCAATCAAGCTGGTAGATCTCTGTGAGTTTTCTAGAGAAGCTCTGTGTTTGACCAAGGAATCTGTTCAAGATCTTGAATCCGCAATCAGGAGGAATAAAGGCGAATCAATTGACATCAGTTCTTACATTGCCTCAAGAAACAAGATCAAGAAGATGATCCATAAGTACATCAAGAATTTGAAGAGCTGCACCGGCCTAGACTCTGATCTAAAACCAGTTGGGACAATGCTGAAAGAAGCAGAAGGCATTGATTTTTCGGTCCTAAAATCCGTGCTGATCCTCTTGTCCGGTGAAAGGGAAAGATCCAATGGGAAAAGTTGGTCATTCCTATCGAAGTTCAACAAAACCAGCCAAGTCCATTCGGAGCGGGCCAAGCAAGAAAGTGGCGTTGAGGACTTGTGTTCCTTGAACATCCACCAGTCGCAGAAAAAAATCGACAACATCACCATGCAAAACATGTTGAAGCAGCTAAAAGCAACAGAACTTATCGTGCAAGAACTTGAAGAGGGCGTCGAGGCTCTGTTTAGGAGTCTAGTCAAAACTAGAGTCTCTCTTCTTAATATGATCAGCCATTAGTTAGAGCTGTTCTTGTAAATGACATCCAAAATCTAGGAATACATGATCATTTATACAAATTCAGTACATCAAATTCTCAATCAAAATCTGTGTGCTTACTATCACAAAATTGATGATCGAAGGGTGGAATATGATCTTAATTTCAATTAACATCTTCAAAGTTGATAATGAAAACTTCATACATGTGGCTACAATCAGAACAAGGGGTTTTTTTCTAATTTAATACTCAGAAGAGATTATGGCCAACATCCCAAAAACTGCAACTTTTCCTGTATCAATAAATGAGCAAATAAGTACAGGATAACATGTGGTAAAACACTCTTTATAAGACAGACAGAAGTTCTTCTAAAAGAAACTCTTACCAGGGACAGTCGAGCATCCTTATTTACAGTAAACTAGTGCATGCATTCGATTATAGAATGATATGCGTTCGTGCAGAGAGAGAGAGAGAGAGAGAGAGAGTACACGTGAGGATAATTGCTGACAGACAAGTAGGAATCTACAAGGAGAAGATAAGAACAAGACTAGTTAAAACAGGAAAAAGACATCACATAAGAGCAGAGCTCAGCTGGACCATCTCCATTGGCCATTACATGCCAAACCCCTCTTTCATAAGGCTAAGGTTGCTTCTGCACTTAGGTTGGTTCTTTCTTGCTTTCTCCTCAAAATAAGAGCCTCTTGTCCCAACACCATAACTATATATATATATATATATATCCATTTAAAATGAGCAGACATGAAATCAAGTTGATGATGATTGCAACATATATATATATACACATACATATCCGTACACAATTAAGGGAACATAAACAGATTGCCCTATGAAGGAAGGGAGGCAGAGTTAAGAGACTGATACTTTTGTGAGATGCATTGGTAATCATTTGATTAACAAGCAATCTCAGAGTGAAGGGGAGGGTTGAGATCCACTTGTTCTACCTCCCAACGAGCCTTAGCCACCAATCCGTCATGCAGAGGAACGTAAGCCTACGAAGATACCACGGGTGTAATCAGCAGACTGACAAATATATATATGTATATGGACCCCCGACATTCAATTATATATCCAATAACAACAAATTACATATATGTAATGGACCCACTATATATGGTGTGGTGTGGTGATGATGAGATATGTGTATAGAATGCCATGAGACTTGTTCGAGCCTGCACCTCAAGTTTCCGGAGGAGCTGTTTGGGAGTCGGTGCAGAGACAATAATGTGACGCTGAGAAGAGTGGATGAAGCCGTCGTTCACTGCCTTGTCTATGAAGCTCAGTAAGCCGTTGTAGTACCCTTCCACATTCAGCAATCCTATCTATACATATAAAAGTAGAAAAGCAGATTATTAAACTATGGATTTGAGTTATACATAATCTATATAAAACATAAATGATCATATGAGTATTTAGAGTTTACTGGCTTGTTGTGAATGCCAAGCTGAGCCCAAGTAATCACTTCAAGTAGCTCTTCCATGGTGCCATACCCACCTGTGTATATTGAATTTGAAATATAAATAAATTATATATATGCATGAGAGTAAGATACACTATTGTATATGTGACCTGGAAGAGCAATGAAGCAATCAGAGTGGCGGGCCATTTCTGCTTTCCTTTGGTGCATGTCAGCTACGGGACGCACCTCGCCGACTGTTTCCCCTGTTATCTGTCAATTAATTACATGCAAACATCGTACTAATTCATCAAGGTAAGTTTAGCTATATGCAATGATTGTATTAAAGAAAAAAGGAAAAGGGATTAACCTCCTTGGACATTAATGTTCTGGGAATGATTCTGAAAGGAGAAAAGAATGAAGGAAACAAAATTAATAATTGGAGACGTACAAATATGTCAGAACTCAGAAGGACTTGACACATGAAAGTTGAATTTAAAACAGAGACAGGAGAGGGGGTACCCTAAAACATGTCGACCTCCATTATGGACCTCCTTTGAAATCAGTCCCATCAACCCTACGCTGCCCCCTCCATACACTAGATCTATATTCCTTGATACCTTCAACCAGTTTTAATCCCAGTAGTAATAAGCTAACACAACATCAAATTATAATCTTCAGAATCACACAACGAACCTGAAATACGATGTAACTGAAACTTACCAATTCTTGGCCTAATTCAAGAGCGGCGTCTCTGTAGCAGTCCTTCTTCCCTGTGCTGCTTCCACAGAATACACACACCCTTTTAAATCTTGATTTCATTGTAGCTTTCTTCTCCTCCATCTGATACAAAAGTGTATGTGCTTAATGGGGAAGAAGAAGGGCTGGGATAGGACAGGCAGTAGGTAAATGATCGAAAAGGCAAAAGATTTTGCAAGAGGGAGGGTTAGCTAGCTGTTGTCTGCAGTTGTTATATACCTTCCGCAGGTCATATATACATAATCCAATATATAGCTTCTACTAAAAGGCAACAGCACTCTATATATAGAGAGAGGCTACTACTAGATATAATATTAATCTATTCTTTTTGCTAATGGGAATGAACCTATAAGAAAACAAATAGGTAATAAATGAGAGCTCGTGCAAATAAGAATCACAAAAGTTTTAACTTGGTCCACTGTTTTTCTCTTCCATATTCCTGGGTTACACTGGGATGGGACCCACTACAAATAAAATACATACAAATATATAGTGGCCAGTATTACCATCGGAAATGAGTACAATAGTATATCATTGCACCACAACTAACCAAAGGCATTTGGTATCAATTCAGTATAAGGATGTTGCTAGAAACATCATGCATGCATGTGGGTGTACGTACGAAGTTTTCAATGTCATTACTATAACCTATACTCTAGCCTCCACTGTCTTAGAACAAAAGAAGGCATCAGTCAATAATTCAGTATATGAATAATAATAATGAGAAACCACCAATAAGGTTGCATAAGGAACCAACACGTAGTAAATGTATAACTAAGTGATATTAAATTTATACAACATGTCTGTGCAGTTTTACAAGTAAGGTGAATTGAAGAAAATTCCTATTCAGAGAAGAGAAGGCAATGTGTAAATAACTACTGCAACATGGCCATTAAAGTTGGTGGTTCGATGATGGATAATAATGTGTCCAAAACATATATGTACATTGTATAGACATGAGATGTGCAAAATGTTCATCTGGGCTGGGTAAGGAATAGAGACTACACTAGGCCCAGAAAAGGAGTATTACCACAATCCAATACTACATAAAAGAACACAAGCCTGGAAAGATTAGAACAAGTAAATCTAGCTAATACTAGTAGTAAACAGCTGTATCTGAAAGCACGGTGAGCACGTATGTAATGTAGATGCAGGTCCAGTCTCCTAATAATTAATATAAATATCTATGTCATAACAACCTTCTGAGCCTAAAAATGGTGTAATACAGGTTGGTTGGAGCTCACCTGTATGTCCATTCGCAAATCAACTTAACCATCAAACGTTGAATCATTATGAAAAATATATATATATTTAGTTTCGTGGCTGGCTTTTATTATATGGGTCCCGTTGTATAAGTACTAAACAAAGATTAGAAACCAAGATGATTCTCTTCTCTCTGTCTTTTCATAAAAACACAAAACAAGATATCATTAACAGCTTTCATATTATACTGCTAAAATTAGCTGACTTTCCAAGTCTATTTTCAAACTTTGTCAGCTTGATTTGTCTCCACAAGAGTCCAAAATCAAGAACGCAAGAAATCCAATGCGTGCTGTTCAATTCTTAATCAAATCCAGCATAACATTAGGACACGATTGAAACAATTACATTAATTAATAAATGAAAGAGCTGTGTGCTCATTCATGGAAGTTTCCAGCTGCCCAATTTGGTCATTTGGCTTTTGACAATTAGTTGATTATCTCACAAGGATCCTTCCTGCCTTGTTCCCTGTACACCTAAATCCAGTCTTGCCAATGTTCAATGTTTTTGTGGTGTCTAATCTTCAACAAAGATTATTATAATGCCCAATACGTGATTGAATAAAAAACTTTTTTAACTATTCGTTACGGGTCAAGCTAGTTGTTATGGTTGTCTGTATATATATGTAAATCGAAGTCGAAGAAATCGGCTGAATCTGAAACAAGAACAGAAGAGGAGCAATTTTGCAGCGAAAAAAAATGTCGGTACCTGAATTCAATTTCGATTCCCTGAGCGATTATCACGATTCCGTGAACGAGTTGCTGCATTCGTCGGAGACGAAGCTGCAGATAATCCAACAGGGGCAGCAGAAATGGGCGCACCAGTTGTCAGAGGCGTCGTTGAAAATGGCGGACTCCTGCGCCGCCGCCAAGGACCTCCTCCTCCTCGCGAAAGGCCATCTCCAGGACCTTCAGTCAGCCTTCCGCCACATCGCCGCCAGTAAGGACGATCGCGACGGGAGCAATATCGTCGCCTCGCAGCGCCTCCCGCGGAAGCAGCTAAAGAAAGCGATTCTGAAGCGGCTGCAGTCGTTAAAGGGGATGAAAACCACCTCGGCCGCCGCCGCCGCCGCGTCGCCGTCGAGTGAGGAGGATGAAAGCCTAGCGGCGGTGGCGAATCTGCTGAAGGAAGTTAGGGCGACGACGGTGTCGATGGTAGACTCTCTGCTGCCGTTGATGGCGATGCCGAATCCAGATCGAGGGCATAGGGATCCGGTATTCCGGATCAAATTGACGCGCGTGGACACGCTGAGCTTCTGGGAGAAATGCAACGCGTCGGACATCCGATCGATGATGAAGAGATTGGAGGAGGTGGAGATGGCGGTGGAGGACATGGAAGCCGAATTGGAGGGCATTTTCAGGAGGTTGATCAGAACTCGGGCTTCGCTTCTCAACATTCTCACCTCCTCGTAATACATACAGACATAGATGATATATATAGCAATGCCCCAACCCAACACTTTTTAGGCAGATAGGGTTCTTGCATGCATTCTTTTGATTCTTTGATTTCTTCCATCACCATGGATTTCATTCTTTGAATTAGATTACATCATCTCCAACCCTACCCAGTAATAATATTTCTATATTTGCTGGGTTTGCATACTAAATCCTTCTCCACTGCACCCTGCAAAAGTGCAGCCAACCCAAAAGTCATGGGGTTTGAATCTCATATTTCAAGATCATGAGTTCACGGATTGTATCTTTTGTTATTATTTATGATATATTATGAATTATAACATACCAAAAGTTGAAATTTTTGCTGGTAAATTTACAACAAAATTGCATACATCGTCATAATAGTATTTTCAAAGGTAAAAAATTGTCTTTTACAAAATAGATGTATCTTGTATTATTTATTGTGAAATATATCTTGCTATATAAAAATAAATTCATATTATTATTAATCTTATATATGTGTCATCCGATCAATATTTTAACCGCTGTCATTCAAGTGACATGCATCTTATTTAATGTTTGTATGTATATTATTTAGAACCATAATTTTATTAAATATATAATTTGACCACTTTTTTTCTCATAAGATAAATATATATATTTTTTCATTTCAAAATAAGATATTATTTCTTAATTAAATTATTATAACACATATGTAGCAAAATAAATATTTTTATAATTTATTATTCAAATATCACAATTTTATAATACACAAATAAAATATTTTTATCCTTTTTTATCCTTTCGATACGCTACAGAAAATAAAAATAACATTATATCTTATCCAAAAGATAATTGTTGCATTGGATGTTCTTTCATTCATTATTATCATTAAAACTTTATATTTATATTGGACACTAATTTTAAATAATACTTTCTCTTTCTCTCTCACTTAACAATCTGTTTATTTTTTTATTTTAGTTTATCTCATATAATAAAAATATTCATTTTTTTAACTATATTTTTAACTAACATTAAAAGTATTTATACAATTTATAATATATTACATAAATATCATTACTTTTATATCATACAATACTAATAAAGTTATTATAGTCTTTTCTACTTTATTCATACTATATTTATATATAATATTAATATTCTTAAAACTCTGTAAAAAAAATAGATACACAAATAAGAGATGAAGGGAGTAAAATTTATTTAAAAGAGATTATAAATTAATATATTATCAGAAAATATATAATATACTATATTTATTCATTTACAAAATTAAAAATATTATCAACATTATTTTCATATTAAATATACAAAACAAAACACATTGTAGTAAAAAAATTGAAAATTTCATCATTTATATAAAAAATTAAAATAATAAAAAATTAATATTTAATATAATATTTTTATAAAAATAAAATAATATTTTTTCCATCCATTTAAAATAATAGTTAAAAATAATGTAATGATATTTTTATCTTTTTTATTTTTTGTGTAAAAATAATGATGTGATTTAAAATAAAAATATTTATAAAAAAATAAAATATTTAATAAAATATTAACTTTGTAATTGAAAGTACTAAAATAAAAATATATAAAAATTGTAACTGGGAAGGCAGTATCAAATGTTGAAATCCATCTAAACAAAGTCGTCCCTTTTTTAAAAAATAAATTAAATAATAATTTTATCACTTGCCAAAAACCTTAACCGAGCCTTTCCTAGACACTCTAGTCTACGCACGTGGAAAATCTGCGGAGTCAAGGTTGCCGCCCGCGCCCCATTTTTGCAATTTTATTTTATTTTTCGCTATTTGGCAATAGGATTGATTACACTGACCGGCTGCCCCACCGGTCACCGGCCACTGTGCAATTAAAAAGCTACCACTGCCAAAAAAGCTACTCTCCACTTTGCAGGTCCTCTCCTCCTCTTCAATGGCGGATATCTCCCTTCCTTCAGAAATTGATCCTCGCAGCGGTTTCTGCAAGTCCAACTGCACCTTCTACAGCAAGCGAAACCCCATCCCACTCCCTTCCAACCACTCGCTCGATGTCACCACTTTCATCTCCGCCCGCTCCCACCATGGCAAGGTCGCTTTCATTGACGCCGCCTCCGGCTTCCGCCTTACTTTCTCCCACCTCTGGAGAGCAGTTGAAGGTGTTTCCACCTCTCTGTTTGAAGATTATGGTGTTCGCAAAGGTCAGGTTGTCCTTCTACTCTCCCCTAATTCAATCTACTTCCCGATTGTTTGCCTCGCCGTCATGTCGCTCGGCGCCGTCGTCACCACCACCAATCCTCTCAACACCTCCGGCGAGATCTCGAAACAGATCGCCGATTCCAAGCCGGTCCTCGCCTTCACAATTCCGCAACTCCTCCCGAAAATTGCCGCCGCAGATCTGCCAATCGTTCTCCTCGCCACCGAACGCGTTGCTGCGACTGCTCTGAGTTCCTCCAAATTAAGGATCGTCGCGACAATTGAGGAGATGATGAAACGAGAACCAAACCAGAGGCGAGTGAAGGAACGAGTCGAACAAGACGACACCGCAACACTTCTCTATTCCTCCGGCACCACCGGCGCCAGCAAAGGTGTCGTCTCCTCACACCGGAACTTGATTTCAATGGTCCAAGTAATTGTGAACCGCTTCAATCTAGACGTCGAGAAGCAAACATTCATCTGCACTGTACCGATGTTCCACATCTACGGACTAGCAGCTTTCGCCACCGGCCTAATCGCCTCCGGCTCCACCGTCGTAATCCTTTCCAAATTCGAGCTGGACGAAATGCTAATGGCAATCCAGAAATTCTCCGCCACCTATCTGCCCTTAGTTCCCCCAATCCTGGTAGCCTTAGCCAACAATGCCGAGATCATCAAAAAGAAGTACGATCTGAGCACCTTACATTCTGTGATCTCCGGCGGCGCACCGCTGAGCAAAGAAGTTATCGAAGGTTTCTCGGAGAAGTACCCAAACGTAGTGATTATGCAGGGCTACGGGTTAACAGAATCCACCGGAATCGGAGCGTCGACAGACAATCTAGAGGAAAGCCGAAGGTACGGCACAGCGGGGCTACTGTCGCCGAGCATGGAGGCGAAGATCGTGGATCCAGACTCCGGCGAGTCTTTGCCGGCGAATCATACGGGAGAACTTTGGCTAAAAGGCCCCACCATAATGAAAGGTATTGCAAGTTGTAAAACTACATCTTCATTGATCTGTACTCATGTGAATGTTCAATCATCTACAGGCTATTTCAGCAACGAGGAAGCCACAGCCTCTACCCTGGATTCAAAGGGCTGGTTGAGAACCGGAGATCTGTGCTACTTCGACGAGGATGGATTCCTCTTTGTGGTCGACAGGTTGAAGGAGCTCATCAAATACAAAGGCTATCAGGTAAACCCTTAATCCTACAAAGGAATTACTGAATTAGGACACACCCAACCAAAACGAAACTGTTTGTATATATATAGGTTCCTCCTGCAGAACTAGAGGCCCTCTTACTCACCCACCCTGACATAATTGATGCAGCTGTCATACCGTAAGTGTTGGTCATTGACTACTATTACTTCTTCTTCTTCTTGAATCTTGATTGATGGGTTTTTTGATATATTTAGCTTCCCTGATGAGGAAGTGGGGCAATTTCCAATGGCGTATGTGGTCCGGAAAGGTGGGAGTGGCATAACAATAACAGAGAGTGGAGTTATGGATTTTGTGGCCAAACAGGTGTGAATTGAATGAATGTTGGTTTTGTTTGTCCTGAAATTAAATCTGCTAAAAATGATGCATAATTGTGATTGTGGTAGGTTGCACCGTACAAGAAAATCCGGCGGGTGGCTTTTATAGCTTCAATTCCGAAGAATCCGTCGGGCAAGATTCTGAGGAAGGATCTCATCAAGCAGGCGGCTCTCTCTAAAATATGATTATTTATTAAGGCAGAATTTCAGTTCCATCGTGTGTTTGTAATAGTGAATTATTAATAATTATAAAGATGGGTAATGAGCAAAAACATATGACAAATAGAAGCCACTAAGTACAAGGATTTGCTGTAGCAATATGTTGGATTCTCCAATATTCATTTTTGTGATAGTTCGCTCTAAAAACAACAATATAACTATATTGAAATGAGATAAAATAAATGGAGTATTTTTCATTTGATAGATTTTCTCATTTGCCATATATTACCAACATTGTAAATATCCTCACAAAATAGAAGATAATTTATGCTAAGGAATTAGTATTATTAATTGGTCATTTATTTTGGTGGATCTAATATTCCAGAGATTATCTGAAATGACATTTATTTTAATTATAGGGTCATAAATATATCATTAATAACTATTATTCATTATTATTTGTTATCATATCTTTGCTAATTAACTACTATTATTTATTCATTATTCATTATTTGGTTTGGGCCTTTGGGGGGTTGGATGTTGGAAAAATGTATTTTTATTATAATATAAAACATAAAATTTTAATTAATTATTTTCATGAAGAAAAATGATGTGAATTGAAATAATATTTCTCAAATACCACCATATTGTATTAATTCAAATTAGATACTCTCAACATACTCAAATCAAGTTACATTTATAATTAGGATTAGTCAAATGATTGATCCTACTTTGTATACTTCATTGTGTAAGAACTTGAACACTACATCTGTTCCAAACCATTTGTGTGTTTGTTTTGATCCTAAGGATTACCTAGTCGTGCTGATTTTTTCAATTGATACAGGTAAAATAATTTACAAGTTTTTATTTCATGCAATTGTATGTATTCTAATGTGTTGTCTATACAGTGCCAATCTTGTTATGAAGTTGTGAATTTAGATTTGAATTTTGAATGGTAGGATGTTAAATTTAATAGTTATTTGACGTGGTATAAATAAATATTAATATAATATAAAAAATAAAATATTTGATTTGACATTTTTTAAAATTATCCTCTAGGAATAATAAAAATTCTTCAAAATTATTTTTAAAAAACACATATGTTTATCATTATTTTTAGAGTGTTCCAATTTTTTAATTTGAGGTAGAAGTTTGAAAATGGTAAAAAGATGGTATTTGGTTTATTATTTTTCATAAAAAAATATACATATAATGTTTAATAAAAATATATTATTTTTCTAATTAAAATATTATTATACAAACTCAAATCATATAAATCTAAAATTTTCAATTGAAATAATGTTTGATAGTGAATGAAAATTTAAGTTTTCATGTAATATATTAAAGAAAAAATAGATATTTGATTTGATAATTTTAGAAAAATAATAATAATAAATTGTATAAAACCAAAGTAAGAGAACATATTCCTATTTTTAATTTAAAATATTGTAAGAAAAGAATGTAGTCCCATGAGTATTTCCTAGCTTTTGAAAATCAATTGATTCATGCAGTTTCTAGGAAATTCCCAGAAATTATATATAAAAAGGGCACCTTTTCTGTGTAGATAGTCCTAGAGCTGTTTCTATAAGCTAAATAATAATAATAATAATGTTAACATATATAACAAGAGGCAAAATCCTAACAACTGTACGTCTGTATCAACCTAAAAAGCAGTGGTTTAAAATGAAATGGAATTGATAACGTATGTATGTACGTATATGTTCAGACCTTAATTGATTTGTGCATGTTCTGTTCAGACCTATATTTTGAAAGTTGAGGTTGCCTTCAAATAATGTTTTTTTGGGACATAGTGGTCACTAGTTTGTCACTTAGTTGCCTGCCTTTCTACAAATAAAGCACCCAATGCATGCAGTCTTGGTCAAAATCCACTTTAAATTATTTGTTGTCACTTACATACAACTAATAAAGTATTCATTTACTCAAAAATATGTTTCCCATGTGTAAATAATCAGTTTCTTGCTTGACTGGATTTGAACTATATAATATATATTTATTGAATGATAGATGTTAAATGTCATCATAATTGCTATGTCACTAAATCATGACTGTGTAAGTTTGTTGAATGAATTGAAGGACAAAAATTTACTGAACTGCATACAAAACATGTAAATTCTAACACCACCTATGCAAATTATTAAAGTGATGAATTAAGTGGTATGTATGTATATATTTCAGTTCCATAAATGCATCACGTAGCTAACAAGAAAATGGAAACATATATATAAATTCCATAGTTTCTTTAAATGGCCATCCCTACTAAAAGAAATGCATGCAAAGAATTTCAAGATCTGTGCTTTATACAACTTCTTGTGGTGTTATTTGGATGGAGAAGGATTAATTGGAATCACCATGTGTTGCTTGCATGCATTGTATTCAACCACTTCTTAGGATGTCATAATTCTAACAATAATATTTAACATTAATATTTATTATTGTTGTTAGTAATAAAGAAAAGAAGATGTGAAGAACCATCCCAGAAATTCAGTTCTATATATGCATATAATCCCCACAGTGTTACTTCATCAATCTGATCTCGAAAGACAACAAAGATTGAAAAAATAACCATATAGTCACTGTATCAGTTGAGTGATTTTTAGGTTACCTTTGCAATGATGATCGAAGTTGTGGAAACGAGGACAACCTCAAGCCCTGCCCTCGCCGTGAAATTCCATCATTCAGCTTCTTTCTCGGCCTCGTCGACGGTTCATCCTGATTCCAACCTGAAGATTCCCAGAAGCCTGTCAATGTTTTCCAGTGCAGGGCGGCAGATGATAACTCCTTTGGATAGCACTGTGGAGATGACGATACCAACAACAAGCAAGAAGACATACCTGGAAGAAGTCGGGCATCTGACACAATCGGATCCTCAGGATTCGTGGCTTCCCATTACAGAGTCCAGAAACGGGAATGCTTATTATGCTGCTTTTCACACCCTCAACTCTGGAATCGGATTCCAGGCTCTTCTTCTTCCTCTGGCTTTTACGACCCTTGGCTGGTGAGTGCTACCGGTTCTTGCAAATCCTTCCTGAAATTGTTAAAAGAGAATGATATGTAACTGCAGTCTTGTTTGCATCAGGGTATGGGGAATCATAAGCCTGTTTTTGGTGTTCGTCTGGCAGCTCTACACTCAGTGGTTGCTGATTCAGCTTCATGAATCAGTTCCTGGGGCACGACACAGCCGATACCTCAGGCTCTCAATTGCTGCTTTTGGTATTCTTTCTTGAATAACTATTACATCAGTTAACCGGAAAATATTACAGATTTGAAAAAAAAGTGTACCTGTAATCATCATTTTGTAATTCCAGGGGAGAGGCTGGGGAAGATATTGGCCCTGTTTCCGACTCTTTATCTGGCAGGAGGAGCCTGTGTCAGCCTGATTATGATGGGAGGAAGCACAATGAAAATGTTTTCACATACAGTATGCGGTGCAGATGGCAAAGCTACTTCAGTATCAACCATGGAATGTTACATAATTTTTGTAGGTTTAGCCATGATCTTGGTTCAGCTGCCAAACCTGAACTCTGCTGCCGGTGCATCCCTCTTCGGTGCAGTAACTTCTGTGACTACTGTACACTGGTGTGGGCATTGCCTGTATCCAAATCTAGACCGTATGAGGTTTCATTCAATCCTGTCAAGACCATATCCAATGTTGGAAATATTTGCAGCATCCTGAATGCTCTTGGAATCATAGCACTCGCTTTCAGGGGCCACAATCTTGTCCTGGAAATACAGGTTAGCACTAAATATTGATTATTTCTGCATGACTGATTAAATGAAAACATACCTGGTTGGATGTTTACAATTGTGTTAGTTACAACTGGCAGGGTACAATCCCTTCTACTGTGAATAATTCATCGAAAGTGACAATGTGGGAAGGGGTAAAATATTCGTACCTGATCATTGCATGCTGTTTGTTTCCAATGGCAATTGGGGGATACTGGGCATACGGAGATTTGGTCAGCATCTCGCAAACATTTTAGTATTTTAAACTGTCTGAAATCAACAGTAATGACATGTACTTTCACAGATACCAGCAGACGGAGGAATGTTGAGTGCACTGGACAGATACCACAGGAATGACATATCCAAGGTAGTCTTGCGGTTAACAAGCCTCTGTGTGGTGATCAGCTGCCTTACTTCATACCAGATATATGCCGTACCAGCCATAGACAATTTGGAGTTCAAATACACCAGCAAAAAGAACAGGCCGTGTCCATGGTGGCTTAGAACAAGTCTGCGATTATTCTTCTGCTGCCTCACCTTCTTCATAGCTGTGGCATTCCCATTCTTGAAAAACCTGGCTGGGCTGTTAGGAGGGATTGCACTACCAGTCACCCTGGCATATCCCTGCTTGATATGGATTAGGATAAAGAAACCCCTAAAATACAGCTCAATGTGGTGGCTGAATTGGTGGCTAGGATCCTTTGGAATGATCTTGAGTGCTTTGCTAGTTTTTGGAGCAATATGGACTATAGCCACACGAGGAATTCCAATCCACTTCTTCAAGCCACAATAAGGTAAGCAGTGGAAGCCCCAGGAACGGCTGCACATATTTGATATAAAACCGTGCAAATTCATGCTAAATCAGACTGCATGGTAAAGCATGGAGTGGGTCATGTTGATGGAAAAAAAATCAAGGTGCATCTTTTTCCAAAAAAAAAGAAAAACCCTGAACAGTTGCTTCTTGATTAATTTGGATAAGCAAATGGAAGAATCACAATCTTTTGTCCAATGAAAAGGGGGGTAGTTTTAAACATACTCAGTAATAAGGAAGGATAGGAAAAGGCAAAGACAGTCAATATAACGAAAACTATGAGAACCTGGAATAAATAAAGTACACCTAATTATCAGAATAGTAAGGACGATTATATATTCAAATGAACTCGATTATGGATAATTTCATATACAAGAACTTGACAAAGAGAAATTGACCCAGGAAAATCGTAGCAACGAACTCACAGATCTACATAAGATGAATGAGTCGATTTGCTTACGATAGGTATCCAAATAGTTGTGTCTACATTGATAATGGAAGAAGCATCCTTCGCTGCTTCTTCCGAGCCAGTCTCACTTGCTTTGTAATTTTCATGCTCGAAAGCAATAGTAGTGTGATGCACAACAGAAACATCGAAAGCCTAAATTGCCTAAAATACAATGAAACAACAGCGAACACAAAGATTGCTAAACTAACAAGCTCCCATAAAACGAAGATTGCAACATCGACCCTGCATCCATAACAAAGAAAACCATGCATCAGAGAGGCCATGCTATGTTGGAAGTGCCATGGGAGCAATTCATTAACTTAAAAAGTAAAAAAATGGGTGTAGATATAACCAAGGAATTTGCGAGTAAATAAAAAACGTCACTTTCTTAATAAAAATACCACTGCAATGCCAAAACCCACAAGTTCGATCGCACACTATGAAACAACTCATAGGATTTGAATCTATTGTTATGTCTTAAGTATTTTAGAATGATAGGAAATCCAAATGTAGTATTATAGTTTGAACATTAGTTAGAACATCATCTCACATGCATCAGAAATTGCTTGAAATATTATTACACTATTTTGAAAAAATTTATATTCTTACTTTTTGGCATCTAAACCACGGATGGACTCATCAGTCAGCATGCTTAAAGATATCCATGAAAGTTAAGGAAACCAAATACTTTTAAGCAAACAACCAAGCAGAAAATCTATCCGCGTTTCAAGTATCTTTTGAAACTCGAAACTTTAGATCAAAATTAAATTCTAATAATATAAGAGATGATAATAAAAAGGATCCTGCGGCTTAGAGCACCACAAGTAGGAACCAGAATTTGCAGTTTTAGGCAAATGATCGAAAATGAATATTGTTCTATCAAATTACCTAAAGCGAATCATACAAAAATCGATACGTAGCCAAGGAAAACAAACAAAAGCACAGAAAATTAGAATTAGGATAAATTATAAAGATATGAAAATAGAAATACCTCGAAAAAGCGAGATTGGAGGTGGAAGAGAAAAAGGAAATAGAAGCCCAGTCACGTTTGGATCGAATCTGATACTCCCTCAGCTGCTCCGCCAACTTAGATCGCGTAATCATCTTCTTCGCTCCACGCGCCCCTGCGCTCGGTTTTCCTCTCCTCTTCCTCTGCGCTTCCGTCAATCCTCTCTACACAGAATTAATTATCAGCATTCGCAATAAATTTCTCGCGTTTTCCAATTCTTCGACGATCACCGCGGGCAGAGAGGCGAAGCCTACAACCGACGGCAAAATTTGAACCGATGATCGGAAAGTTGCGGGGAAACTATTTCATTTCGTCTAACTCCAACCTAATTACAAATCACCCCCAGAATAATATAAAATAACATTTGCCGCCTCAAAAATTATTAGGCTTGGCCCAAAAATAAGCCCAACCACTAATAATGTTGGGCCTTAATTTTTGTAATTATATGGCCCAATTAGAGGGGAAAGTCACGTGCTTTTATACCCATCTCACGTGTAACAAAAACAGCATCCCCCGTGGCCAGGGCATCGATAATTGAAAAGAAATCAACCGACCAACTGTCCACCCGCCGACATCTAACTTCAGATACGTGTAGCAACGATGACCGCTGATTTTCTTCCTTTCTTAAATAATCCAACGGGAGCCGACAGTTGTGGACCCCATGAGTGCTATCTTCCACGTGGCGGAATTTGGTTGGTGTAGGTTGCGTCTGGTGTCATTCTGCTATGTGCTCCACCTTTTCTTACTTTTTTTCTTCTCTTTTAATTCCTTACGACTTCTTTGCGTGCCCAAACCCTTTCTTTTATGCCTAATAAATTTTATTTTTTTGCAATTAAATTTATACTTAATATTTATGTATATGGTTTTAATGGATTATTATTTCCAATGGTGATATACCTTTGCACAAACCAATAATTCAAAGCTAGATTTTATTGCTGATGTTGAATTTTTTAATTTTTTAATTTTTTTTTTAAATTGTAAGCAATAATTGATGGTCGATATTTATTGAATTCGATAACTTACGGTAATATTTATATAATCAAATAATAATAAAAAAAAAAATGACAGCGAGGATTATGCTTCCATAATAAAATAAAAACTTAATAGCGTAAATTCCGCGTTGAGATGCCTATATAAACCCTACCGTTGCAACTTCCGCACCATTCAAATTTCACAGAGATTTCAGTTTCTCATTTTCACCTCTGCATCTTTAATTTCATTGACTTCCCTCAAAAAGGTAACTGAAAATGGCGGACGGAGCTCAGTATCACGAAACCAAGGATACTGAATCTGGAGCACCGGTTGAGACCACCGACCGTGGACTGTTCGATTTCGCGGGGAAGAAGAAGGACGAAGACGCGGCTATAGCGTCCGAATTCTCGGAGAAAGTTCAAGTCAGTGAAGAGAAGGAGAAGAAGGAGGAGAAGCTTCACAGGAGCAGCAGCTCTAGTAGCTCGGTAAGTATTCTCGCGTTCATCTGCACCGCGTGTTTCGTAATAGTTAACTTGGTAGATCTCAACGATTTTTCAAATCAAAACATTACGGATTCAATCTATTCATCCTAGTTCTGTTGTTATAATCTTCATGCTCTAATTAATGGTTACATATTTTGGTAAAATTTCCGCAGTCGAGCGACGAGGAACAAGTGGAGGAAGGCGGAGAAAAGAAGAAGAAAAAGAAGAAAAGCTTAAAGGACAAGCTAAAGGAAGAAGATACTTCAATACCGATCCAGAAGTCCGACGATGTTCCTGCAACCGTCGAAACAGGGGAGAAGAAAGGCTTCCTGGACAAGATCAAGGAGAAACTTCCAGGAGGAAAGAAGACTGAGGAAGCAGCGTCGCCTCCGCCTCCGCCTCCGACTGCGGAGGAAAACGCCACCAATCCGGAGACAACTGAGGGCGAGAAGAAAGGCTTCCTGGAGAAGATAAAGGACAAACTCCCCGGATTCCATTCCACCACCAAAACCGACGTAGAGAAGAAGGAAAAGGAAAAGGAAGAAATTTAAAAACAATATTATTCAAATGTTTGTATGATTTATTTCAATATCATTATTAGTGTCGTACACCAAACTTTAATTGTGCTATGGCCTGTGTTATTTTGTGGCTTGGCTTGATTTCGTTTGCTTGCCTATCGTATATTCAGTTTTCTGTTTTTGTAATTTGGGGTCTTCTGTAATTACGTTGAATACATGTACTTGTGTATAAATTTGTGCATAATATACCATAAGTACTACATCGAGTGTGTACTTTGTTTATCAATTTACTTCTTCAACTCAAAACGACGTCGCAGAAACAAATCTTACACAGGTGTCATAGATTTGGGAACTTAGAAAATGACGTAGCAGCAACAACATATTTTTAATATTATCACCACAAGTTCCATTAATATTATTATATATTATTGTTCATTTATTAATTTTCTCCATCCAGATCACACATCTGATGCACTTGCCTTGCAGCAGCAGTCGAAAAGCTTCGTTAATATCCTCGAAATCTACCTCGTGGGTCACAAACTTGTCCACCTCCAACTCCCTGTCGATGCATTTTTGCACCAGAATTGGGATGTCTGATTTGGGCTTGACCCCTCCAAATACTGACCCTGTTAAAATCCTCCCACCTCCCTCAACCCCACCTGCCCTCCATTACTGTCGTCCACTCCAAGAACTATGGTCTTTCCCCATCCCTGATGAATTTCAAGAAAGCAAACTATAATGTCTGAATTTGGACAGGGCAAAATGGCAATGAATTAATATTAAACACCTTTCTGCAGCAGGCGTATGCTTCCTCGACTAGAGCTACTTTTCCGACGCATTCGAAGCAGTAGTCTGCTCCTAATCCTCCCGCCATCTCTTTCACTTGGCTCGCCGCCCGGTCGCCGGAAATTCTACTTGAATGGACAAACTCAGTTACTCCGAATCGTTTGGCTACAGTAGTATTTATTACATGTTTTTTCAGTTAAGACAGTTGGATGAAAATTAAACAAGAATGTTTTCTTTTTCTTACATACCAATGTCAAACTTTTCAGGGTTTATGTCCACACCGATGATTCTAGCAGCGCCACGTAGCCTTGCCCCTTCAGCAACCTTTAATTACAAGTAATAATAATTAATTAACAAGAAAGAACATACTAGTATATAATAATATTACAGCTTTTGTATTTCATTAATTCTTACTGCCAATCCTACTGTCCCAAGCCCAAAAATCACAACCGTTGATCCAGCTTCCACTTCTGCAGATCTCCACGCAGCTCCCACACCTTCATTACATTGTCTGATCAGCTATACATATATGTATATATATAACGACGTACGTAACTGTGGAGACTCCACAGCTTAGGACACAAGCCAGCTTCTTGGGGAATCTGGGATCGATTTTTGTGACGTTGGCAACGTTGACGACTGTGTACTCGCTGAAACTGGACACAAAGAGGAAGTGATAAATTATGTCTCCATTGGCATCGGAAAACCTGGCGGTTCCTTCGTGCAGGTAGGGTGACACGTGGAACGGATATTTCGAGCAAAGATTGCTCCTCTTCGACGTACAGTCATTACAGTCTCCACAATCGGCCACAAATGTGGGCATCACTGTGTCCCCTTCCACTAACTCTTTCACCCCCTCACCCACGCTCTCAACAACACTGTCCATTTCAAGAAAATCGAGAATTGATAATTACCTGCTAGATTAGGCTATCTATATATATATATATGTGTGTGTATCTATATACCCGACGGATTCGTGTCCGAGAATTCTTGGAAAGAAGGCTGGAGGGACCTGGATTTAAGATTAAAGCAGTACTGTTATATATGATCGGATCGATTAAGAATTTAAGATTGATCGATTCGTACGTAACGTACTTGCGTATTCCAGAAAGTGACGTCGCTGTGGCAGACAGAAGTGCATATAATCTTGACGCGAACTTCTCCGGCCTTCGGCGGCGCCACCGTCACTTCCTCCATGGATAGCGGCTCTCCGGCCGTCCTCGCCACCGCCGCTGCAGAATATATCGTTTTTTAATGAACATTCCATATACATGTAAGTAAATGTACGAAAATTGACAGAAACAAAGTGTACCACGACATCTAATTGGCTTTCCGGCGGCGGCGACGGCGGCGGTTCTGTTATCCATGGTGTGACTGGCTTCTTCTCCGGTGAGGTGAATTCTTCAACATCATTGGTTCGGTGAACTTATAAGGAAAGGAAGGTGAATACTGTGTATTATTAATTGGGTTTGCAATTACAGTTGCAGCCCAACAAGTATTAAATGCAGTCTTGTTGGTTAAATTTATTTATTTTAGTCACTAGAAAATAGTAGTAATTAATAACAGTACCAAAAAAAATAAAAATTTGAGAAAGAGCGCGTTTTACGTTATGAACTACGATTATTTGCGTCCAACGTCTCTATCCCGCTCCTGGTTCTTGCTTTCGATTGATCATTCTCTTCGCGGGTTCTTTTCTTACGATCATAAGGTTTGGATCGGATGGATGATTTTGTGTTTTGTGACTCTTGGTTATTCTGCTTTAACTGATTTCCAATATATGGATATGGATTGTTACTGCAAACCCTAAGTATTAGACATTCTAACTTTCTGATGTTTATCCTATGACCTATCTAGGTATTTCTTGATTTTGGTTTCTCATGGCGGATCCACAAGCCACAGAAGGGTCAACTGTAAATGATGGTTTCGATGAAAATTCCGAGTCCACTCTTCAGCTTAATGTCAAGACTCTGGATTCTCAAATTCACAGCTTAAGTGTGGATAAGAATGTAAGCTTGCTAGTTACTTTTTTGACAATTAGGATATAAAACCTGATCTTTTATTAGATGACTGAACTTCCCTTCTTTTTACATGCCCAGTTTGATGGTTTTAGATTCATTAGTTTTCCTCCCCTTGTAAAGAAATGTGTTCCGAAGCCCGATCTTCTGCTGGATACAACTTCAATATTAGATGCTGGCATTACCTTGAAGAACTCATATATATATATTTTTTTTCTCATAATGTCCAATGTTGTTTGTGTTGTTCAGTGTCACATTGCAGCATTCAAGGAGAGAATAGCTAGTGAATGTGGTATGCATGCTGGGCAGCAATGATTAATTTTCAGGGGCAAGGTATTGAAGGATGATCACATGCTTTCTGATTACAGTATCCTCTTGTTGATTGGCTTAATTATTTACCCCACCTAGTACTTATTACTGTTCAGGTATTTCTGCTAAATATGAGTTCTTTCAGAATCATTTGATGGAAGTCACTCTTTATGCATAGGTCTACTGAAGAATTTTGTACCATGTGTATACATCTGTATCATTTTTCTTCCTATAGTACTTTAGACACCATGTATTTTTTTGTATGTGATATGTGTCTCCATATTGTAGGATTTAGTGCTTTCTTCTGCTTTTTTTATTTGCATAGTTGATCTTTCTAAAATTTTTGCATAATATATTTGTTGCGACCTGACCTCATTTTTCCTTCTTTATGACACCTACTACTTAACAACGTCTCTAGATGTTGAGAGTGGGGATACATTACATTTAGTTCAGAGGCAGGGACCACCTCATTCAGGAGTGAACACTGTAACAGCCACTTCAAGTAATGGTAACCAAGGTTGTAAGATGAAAGGCATCTGGTGTCTGGTTCAATTGAGTCAAATGGTTTGATATATTTGAAGCTTTTACTTTCTTGTTCATTTTCGCGTTACTGGAGTACAGGACAGAGTTCAAATATCGGTGGACAAGTTAATCGGACTGGGCCAATTCCCCATGGTATAATGTTAGGGACAGTAAACTCTGAAGGCCCAGGGGATGCTGTCATACCCGATTTGGGTCAAGTATGTTATGTCTTATTAAAATTTACCATGTAAACTTGATAATGAAGTTATTTGAAACTTCAATAACAACACAATTTATTTGTTTGCATTATAGATCATTGGTGCAGTATTGAACACTATTGGGATCGGCAACCAGGGAATAGCCATGCAACCGGGTGTTTTGGTAGTGGTTTCTTATATATGCTTTGCACCTTTGATGGTAATGTTTGAAATTTTATTGTAATCATGTATGAATTTAGCTTTGAAGACATTTCTTTAGTAGTTATAGTCATAATTTTGTCTAACGGTGTGAGTGAATTATCTTGATTACTTCATGGGCACTGAGTTATGTCATCTTAAACCACTATACCATCCTCAAGTTGGATATATTGTGTATTTACCAGATCTTTTTCCAATGAAATGTCATTTGCACTTCTTGTATGATCGTTTGAACAAAATTTTCTCTTGTATTAAGTTCTTGTAAATATGCTTGTGTACCTTATAGGGTGGCGTGGTATCAGTTTTTTTTTGTATTTTGTATGTGTGTGTGTACACGCTCTGTTCTTCTTCCAACCATTTGGCTGGTCAATTATGACCTGTTGTTAGTTACTGGATTGATTAATATTCATTTTCTGTGTTCAGTCCTCTCAAGGAAATCAAATTGAAGTGCAGCAAGCATTCCCAGGTCAATCTGCATCCCATGCTATGCAAATTCCATTAGGAGCTACGATTGCTCTTCCTTCCCTAAACATGGTAGGAAGCTACTCATTCCCCAACTATGTTTTAATAAATAGACTTCTGGGTTTTCTCTCATATGTCATTTTTCTTCCTGTAATCAGCCAATACCTAATTCATTAAACACCCTGATTGAATTTATGAATCAAATGGAAGCGACATTCTCCCAAAGTGGTAATGTTCTTGACCTTCTTGAGTTAGATAGTGTCATGATGTATTCTTACCAGTGTTCATTGTTGGTTTGTCTAAGTGATCAATCAACACAATCAACAATTGGTACTAGCAATTTGCCTGCCATTGAGTTACCTTCAAATTCACAGGGTTTACCAACACTGGAAGCTCTCAGCATTGTTCTGCAACATGCCCAATGTCTTCTTAGTGGTCATGCTGTTCCAGCATTATCTGTGAGCATCATTTGCTGAAATCATTTGTCTCTTCTTTTAGATTCAGTACTTTGAATTTTGAATCAATTTCAGTGCTTGGATTGCTTGGCACTAATGAATGACTGGGCACTGGTTATAGTATTATCGAATATTGACTATGTACATGGTTATTCATTTTTATATCTAGCTTTACATTTGTAAATTTTTTTTGGTTTTATTGTAATTATATCCCGCTGCTGCAACATGTAGCATACTGCAGTCTAAATCAAGTTGGAGATTCTAATGATACTGCGTTGAGGCAACAAGTGCAGACAGAATCTGTCCAGTTAGGCATGGCTA